GAAGGATTTTCTCGACGAAAGGTATCCACTAGGAGGCAGGCTACAGTCACCCGTTTGTAACTCGTGAAGTTGAATGGAAGACACCTCCCCATTCTCCGGATACTCTAATCGTGACTGTATCAAGAAGCGATTACTTGACTCAAAGAGCGGATGTGACTCCGTATCGTGAATACACAACTTTCGCACTCTTGGACAATCATACAGAAAGAGTACGAAGCTGCTCCAAAAGTCGGCAGCAAGAGACTCTTCCACGATAAAAGCATCCGGAAGCCCATAGATAGTCATGCTCAAGAGAAGATTACTGAATCGTTTGGAAACAGTGCTGTTTCGAATGTAGTTGACAATTTGATGAAAACGAATTTGAAGCCAACAACAACAACATTTATTCCTATTCGGAGTTTTTTTCACAAGGATTACGACCTAATTCCTCTATTCTATCGAATCCAGCCTACCAATTTCGTAGGTTCTTGTGTTCCTTGTCGTTTTCGTAGTCGTCTTCGTAGATCTTGACCTCCTTCTTGAACTTCAATGTTTCGAAGTCAAAGCGGTTAGGTTCCTTGTATTCGAGTTTGCTTTCACAATCGCACTCGACTGGGACTAAGGAAATGAAGGTGTGTTAGATTTTCTTCTGTGAACGTCCACTGTAAGCTATCAACAGCTTAGCTGGTTGAGCACACGTACTTGTAATGTAAATGAACTTGTAGTGGGCAGGACAAGTGATGTGTTTGGCGTAGACACCTTCGTGACCCAATCCATGGCCAGCTAGCAATAGTTCGAACGATTGGTTGACGAGAACGTTGGCAAGGTCAAACAAATGCCTGGCTGAGTAGAATTCCTCTGCCTTGAAGCCTTTGCCGTAGTAGTCTCTTTCGTAGCCATCCTAGCCATAGAAGTCTCCTTCGTAGCCATCAAAGTCGCCATAGTAGCCGTCATCACAATTGTACTTCTTGCCGTAGCCCTCTCGGCCATAGAAGGTTATATCTTTGCCACCGTAGAATTCTCTGTCGTAGCCATCCTTGCCACCATAATAGCCCTTGTGGTCATCGTCGTAGACTTCAACGATTTCCTTCTTGACTTCTACAACTTTGACGTCCTTGTTGTAGCCATCCTTGTATCCCTTTTCATAGGCTGGAGCAGCAAGGACTGAGGTAGCAGCGAGAAGAGCGATGGCAATCTAGTTAACCGGCGTGAGATGCATCATGTGAGTTGATGTTGTAAACGTTGATTTGGAATGTTTTGCAAGTCTTTATTCATAGCCAAGTCGTAAGCAGTGATGCATGATGAAAACAAATGCATTATAGAAACCTTGGAAAGCATTGTGAAGCTTTGCAGTGACAAAGTTTGACTATTTGTCTGATGTGAGGGTTGGACGATAGGACAACGGAAAAAGAATGCCTTGTTTAAGAGGTTTACGACATCTCAAGCTTGAATTCGGCAATGTCAACATTGAACCCGGGAGTGGCAATTGAAGTCGGCTTGATTGTCAAGATAAGGATGACATTAATGAAAGTATAGAGCTGAGAGGAGGTGTTTCGCTTAATGAAGCAATGGAGGCGAAGACACACTCTTATTATACATACACGAAAGATCTAATTGACTTTTTTTTCTTCTCGTCGAGCTAGTTGAAAGTCAAACCAGTAATGTTGACACAAGGTTTGATTGCCGCTGGCACATTTGACTGCCGACTTCAAACAGACAACTAGAGAACCTCAAAAGAAAAGGATTTTCCAGTTTCTCTTGCACTGCCATTCAACATATCAAATTCGAAAACCTCTCTATTGATACCGGAGGGCTATCCGATACAATAATCCTTTGAAATAGTCGAGTATGGAAAGCCTGGAATGTGTCGAAGTCATGCACGATGGAAGGTGGACCTTCTCAGGCGACACGGATTTATCACTGAAGGAACTGGATTATACAAACCAGTGGGGTGGAATCAACGGCGCTGGCGTATTGGACTCTCTCGCATCATCCAAAGGAAAAGCCAAACTGGAATCCTTATCGCTCCTGCTGGCCTCCGAGATTAGGGAAGATGTCGCTACCCAGGTTATTGCACGTCATGCATCAACCTTTCGTAAATCAACATTACAATCAGCAGTATTCAAAGATCCACATATAATTGCCATTCCAAACCTCGAAAAATCAAACATACCATCCACTACCCCAGAGCAGGTTCCACTTTTCCATACATATGGCTGTCAGCTCCGATATATGGAAGTCGATATCTGGTTCTACAAACCGAACCACTTTAGTATAGATGTATTGGTAGAATCTTGTCCAAATCTGGTTGACACAACCTTATCATATTGTGCGAGTTAACTTCACCTTGTGGTAATGGCCACTAAAGTGAAGAAACTAAAGGTTCTCGGTCATCTGTCTCGTGAATTGGCTGAATATATTGCTGAGGCACGATCTCAGGCAAATTTAGAGCCGTGTCTGAATATCTATTTCACAAGCCATGCGCCAACCTCGAAAGTCACTTTGTCCTTGTATGAGAAGTCCGGAGGGAAGCTCTTGTGGAGTCAACGTAAACAGGAGGATCCTCGTGTATTCATTCGTAAGCTGAAAGCACAGCTTGCCAAGGATGCTCAGCAGTCCAAATATAATGCAAGAGCCCTTCATAAATATCCCTATAACGTCCATGACCACAGATGATCAACAGTCTAGAAGTACAGGCGGAACAGCAGATGAAGGGCATTATGGGCATATAATGCCTAAGTCCTTTATAACAATCCCTAGAATGTTTATGACCACAGATGTTCAACAGTCTGGAAGTACAACGGCAGATGAGGGGTATGTAATGAGGCATTCATAAATTTGCCTACAACGCTTATGGCCACATTTGCTCAACAATCTGGAAGTACAGGAGGAGCGGCAGATGAAATGCCTTAGCATTAGATAAACTTGGCCCAAATAGAGTATAGTAGTCCAGTATAGTCGTCCGTAGAAATATATGAAATAGCAAACGGCAGCGAACTTCCAATTCGATTCAATTGAACGCGAATGCATTCGGGAGAATGAAGCTGTCTATGAGAAAGAGTCATACATTGTGTACAGGTCGATCCAGGTAATTCTGAACTTCACACTGCTTGTTATTACTAGAGTTATCACTAGATTACTATGCCATTATCATTATCAGCGCCTATCAAACTAAAGAGATCGAGGGCGTTTGAAGAGAGTCTTATCCAACACAAAGGACATAGCCTGAATGAACGGTAAACAAGTTTACCATTCGCCCATATACCTCTCAAGGCGTAGTCGATTGCTTGTGGTTTGGGCTTGCGCCTCTTCAAAACTTCTCTTTCAACGGCGTAGGTTGACATTGTCCAGAATCGGTGAGGACGTAGCCCACACGAAACGGACATGAGGACTGCTCTTCTTCTCGGTGTATAGGTTTCCCTCGATCACGTATTAACCCCTCAAAGTAAAGGTAACAAGAAGACACAAAAGGCTCAGGCATTACTTGTGAGATTGAGAATGGCATTGGGACCTTGAGATACTGCTTAACGCAGAATCCATGCCATTCTCTCCTTTAGAGCTTCGCATGATCCAAGACCTGGACGAAATGCTATGTGGCTTAAAAATGTCAATTCACTGCATTAGGTGATTGACGAAGTAAATCAAGCAACCATACCTTAGACAAGAGTCCTGGATCGTATACAGTCTCATTCCTGGCCGTCCTGGCAGAGCAAGTTGTAGCAAGTTGCAAACCACAAGAGAGTGACCAATTGCCATCCCATAAAGACCAGTACGACCCACTGTAGAACGCAGAACAACCTAGTGATGCGGCTTGGTGTGAGCCCTTCGCATTTCTTCATTTGGACCCGGTGCTGACTGACAAAGTGCAACTGGACAGCCATAATGGACAGACAAGACACAGCAAGGTCATTACAGAATCATTAGTCCCGGCGGCGACGGGAGCTCCTCCTGATATAATACTTCATAAACTGAGAAAAGCGTTGGATGTCACTGGTATCTTGTGTGGTCTTGGTGCCTAGTGCAAGAATGTAGTTAGCGGATTGTCTAACAGACAAGCAAATAGATGATCTTATGTGCCTTGCTACAACTGCCAGCTAGTCCGGTGCTACTAGAGTTGTTGTACTGGGTCCTTTTGCCTACTTTGGTAGGTAACTATGTTGCGAACAAAAGTCAATGTCAGGAATCACGAATCCGAAAATCAGGAGAAGGGGCAAGATCTAGCTTTTTGACTAACTCTGAGTGCGACAGCGTCCGTGTATAATACATATAAGAATCGATTCCGTGCCTTTTTGACACGTCAAATAAAGCTGTTGCCTCTTTCATACAGCTTTTAATTTCTGATTCAAAACTTCGATTTTGTGCCGTCAGTGAAACAGCTTGGTGTCTTACAGACAAGACACCGGGCAGATGGATTATTTGTCGCATGCCAAGAAGTTGCTCTTTGGCGACTCTTCTTCTGCTAGCTCGCCTGCTGCAAAATCGAATGAACCACAAAAGACTGGACTCGACGGAGCAGTTAATTCACTAGTCAGAGCGGTAACATCTGAAAATGTACAATGTGTGTATTTTCATAGTCTGTAACAATCCAGTATTCATACACTAGGCTATAGGAGGAGCTGCGTTGGCAGAAGATGATGTTGAAAAATATCTTGCCCAAATGATTATGAAGGAAGCTCAAGCCAAAAAGAAAAAATATGAAGAAATTGGCATCTCGGCGTATACGGAAGCTGATCGGTATATTCTTTATGTGGTTTACCTTCGCTGTGTATGCGATCCAAACTATCGAAAAAACTGACCACTTTCGACATCATAGAAACACACTCAAGCCCAATAAACGATTCATGAAGACCGTCATTCAGCAAACCGACAATCACAATAAGGCCCTACTCAGACAAATACGTGATAACTCGGACAAGAGACTACGTGATCTAGATGGAGAGGCAATGAGTTCCACTAATGGAAGCAAGATGAGAGCATGGTCAGACTCTTCAGATGCAGAATATGATATGGCAGAACGAGATGCTGAAGATATAGAACAGGGACATGGCCGGTATGATGATGAGATACGACGATCTGGACGACCTAAACGTAAACCATCACCAAGTCCAGAAGACCACCACAACGATGACGACGACGAGTATACTAGTAAACGCCGTAACGAGTCTAGTAGATCGAGTCCTCCTATAGGCACTGGACAGAAAAAGAGGAGGCGGAGAGACGAAAGTGAGGAACAACCAGACCAACGTGACCATCACCACCATCGAAAACGAACACCACCATCATCACCTCCAGCACAACCTATCGAAAAGGCATCTGTATTAGCCAAACCAACCCACCACCATAATAGCAGCAAGGTCGTCAAAGGTCGTGGTGCATTAGGCTCCTCACGCCTCGACAAATACTTTAGACCAGACTATGATCCTCGTCTAGACATGGACAACTTTGATGACTCGAATCTAGGCGTCTATGTAGAAGCGCTGGAAGATCTTGGAGGTGCAACCGCAGCAGCCAAGCAAAGTGAATCTGAAAATGACGACGGTGGTACTGTGAAACGAAAATCTGACAGTAGCTCCAAAAAGCATAAAAATAGCCACAGTAGTCGCAGCAAATCACATAAAAGCAAGTCAAAGAAATCGAAATCACACAAGTCCAGTAGAAGACGAGATGATAGTGACACCGACGACAACAGTTGTGTCAATGATCGACGGCCGCCATCTATAGACGATAGTGAAGAAGATGAAATACTGGAACGAGAACGAAAAGAGGAAAAGAGACGAGAACGTAAAGAACGTAAACGAGACAAGAAAAAGTCAAGAGAAAAATCAGACGACAGCAGTAGTGATGACAGGCCCCGTAGCAAGAAAAAGTCATCGAGTAGCAGTAAGAAACACACTGAAGAATCGGAACGGGTCGATAGTGAAGATGATGATCATAGAAGACATGGTGACGACGATTCTGACGCCAGGCGTCATCAGCAAGCTGCGAGAGACGATCTACCTGTAGCCTGTCCTTGGTAGCAGAAGGGAGAAAGGACCGCGTGTGTGATTTGTTTTGTTGCTTGTAAATACAGCGGATGATCTTCATGACGACTCCTCGCAAGCGGTTTGGCGCAGCAGAGAATTTGGCGACACTTTTCCGAACACAAAAACTGATGCGGCGACAGACGAAGTCCAAACCCACCAGCACGTAGTACCTCCATCCCCACCACGCGAGTGACCTATCTCCCTGGTATAGAGACTTGGAAAGGCTTTAACGTGTAAGAACAAAACATGTTATGTATCGTTGTTCTGGAGTGATGCTCATCGGTGCGGCTACATTTAGAAATGGTACGGCGGTGCGACCGGAGGAGTAGTCAAGACCACCATTAAAAGAATTACGTGTCAAATCGGGGCCAGCTCCAATCCTCAATGAAAGTTCAATATCGTATATTCACAGTTTATACACCGTGGAATGCGATGGTTATGCCTTAGTAATGTGTACAAATTTTATCAAGAAAAACTCTGCAATAAATACTATGATGCTTCATAATGCGATCTTGCATCTTCAAATACAAGATGTATCAACATTTCAGTAGAGAGACCTTCGTTACGTAGCCTTGGATCATCTGGGGATTTGTCAAATAACTCGAGGAACTCAAAAATGAGGCCTTGAGTATCCAGATCTTCTTTGACGAATGAAAGTGTAAGCACGGCCTTCATCAGCATCCATACGTCACAGCCGAACGAGTAGGGCATTTCTGGCTTGCCCTGTTTCGTTTGCGGTATATACTGGTTGCTAAATCCATCAGGTAGGCGTCCTACCCTTCCGCAGTGTTCCAAGTCAATCAAAATATATCGATTTTCTACTCGCACAGTGTTTTCCAAGCGCACATCACGGTGAACCAATCCTGCAGTGTGCAGAGCCTAGTTGGAAACGCTGCTTGAGTTCCGCACGTGCATAAGCCAAACAACAGCAGCCAGTCACCTGCAAGGCCTTCAATATACAGTAAAAATACCTACGACCCAAGGAAACGTCCATGATATCATGGATATTGCTACCAACAGGCCATAAGCATAAAGTCAATTTGGATCTTTCAAATTTGCTTTTGGACAAGTCTAGCTTGATCAAATATGGAGAGCAGATAGAGTATGCACATTTCAGATCCTGAAAGCCAACCAGAATTCAGCACAGTAAACTAATCCGAAAATTGCTGCTCATGCCCACCGCGACAGTTGAGTTCGCCCAAGGCATCTTGTTTGTTTTCACGACATAATTATTGTGAAATACGATTGACTAGGAAGGCGATATCAGACACCGGCGAAGTGTGATTTGCGTGGAAATTCTTACCCCATTGTGGCGATCGCATTCCATTCCCATTTTCCACTTCACACGGAACTCTACCTCTTGATTCAAAAGCACAAGTCCGTGAATCAATCGAAACATGTTGATGACAGTGATCAAAACGGCCAAGCGATCAGAAGCAGATA